GCTTCGCTCAACGTTCCCCAGCCCCTCCCATGATTATTGACGAAAGTTTTATTTTTCTGTGAAAAATTATTCCATTGTTTTTCCACATGATGCAACGTTGAGTGAGAAATAGTTCAAGAAGAATTGATTTCACGATATGAGTTTTTATTGCTTTATTATTTGGTTTATGAGGGTAGTAGGGGCGTGCCCTCTTTGCTCGCTTCGCTCAGTACTGTTAGGGGGCCCCGCCCCCTGCTCGCTTCGCTCAATATTCAGAGAACTCGGAAACTTTAAAATCTCTTCCGAAACTCGAGAATTTCACCGAAATCTTCAAAAATAAAATGATTAAAATGGATAAAAAAACAGCAGAAAATTCTCAAGACTGAAAAATTAAGCTTGAAAAAAAAAATTATATTTTCTGTAATTCGTAAGTTACTGGTGAAAAATGGGGCAGTGATGGAGGAAGCCTTAGGATGGGAGCGTCCAGCCTACTATCAACCAGGAAAAATCACCAACATCCAGCCCTACGACTACATGGGAAGCTACGGATCCTCGAAGAACCGGAGGAACGATTACGCCGAGGTACTGAAGAAGGAGTACACCTTCGGCTTCCCCGAGCACCACGACCTCATCGGCTCGGAGGCCCTCGCCTGTCGAAACAAGGCCGCTCTTTTCGATCTCTCCTACTTCGGAAAATTCTATCTCTGCGGGGCGCAATCCCAGGAAGCTGCCAATTTTTTGTTCACAGCTAATGTCAATCGGGAAACTAATAGAACGATTTATACTTGTTCTTTGAACAAGTACGGGGGGGTCGAGGCCGACTGCACCGTTACGTCTATCGAAGCGGGCTCTGGGGGGGTGGCCGATCCCATTTTCCAGAGGAAGGCTTTCTACATTGGTAAATAATTTTTCTATATTTTATCATTTATAAGTCATTTTTATATTATAATTTTATCGATTCAATATTCAAGACTGAAAAATTTATTATATTGAGGTAATTAGCACTATAAATAACCCAATAGATTATTGTCTTCAATTAATTAATAATTAATTATTGATTATTAATGAATAATTAATAATGATCAATTGATAGTAATTAATTAAGTTAAATTAATTACTAAAATAATTAATTATTTAGGAAATATTTAGACTTATTATTTATAAGTCTTGTAATTGGCATCGGCTGTCTCGACTTGAATAAACAAATGAATAAATAAATAAAAAATGAAAAAAGCGGGGATCGCCCTGAATTTGAAAAATTGTTTTTCGAAAAAATGAAAAAAAAATCCTGAAAAATCTCAATTATTAATTTTTGCTAGTCGCTGGTGGAAGTTCGTCGTACCACACGTACTCCCACCTGAATCGAATAATAAGGAAGAGAGGATTCGAAGCGACAATTCATAATGCCACAGAGACGATGGGAATTCTCTCCCTCCAGGGGCCAAACAGCCGGTACATTCTGGAGGACATAACAAAGAAAGACTTGTCCGACCAACTCTTTCCCTTCTCAACCTGTCAAATTCTGGACATAAGGGGCAACCTGGTGAGGGCATTTCGACTGAGTTTCGTCGGTGAACTTGGATATGAGCTGCATATCCCTAGTCAATCGTGTGAGAAAGTATTCAAAGCACTGATGGAGGCGGATAAGGTTTATGGAATGAAATTGGCTGGGTTCAGGGCGATGTACAGTCTCAGTTGTGAGAAGGGATATCACCTCTGGAACTGCGACCTGAGGATGGACGATAATCCAGTGGAGGCGGGGCTGGGGTTCGTTTGCAGGCGACAGGGGGAGTACAATGGGAAGAAGGCTGTGGAAAAGTTGAAGAATAGTGGAGTTACGAAGAAAATGGTGCATTTGCATGTGAAGAGGTAATTCAAGGGAAGAGGGACCACTGATCCCTCATCCGATACTTTATGATCCCATCCCTTTTGCTATTATGAAGGGAAAATATGGGTCTCAAAGGATCATTCAAAAATGACGCCTGGAAATTAGACAAAAGAATGAATAAATCATAGAATGCAATTGAGGAAATTAGAGATTGCAGACTTCAAGTAACAATCGATTCAAGTATTTGCATCAGGTATTAATTGTTGACAAGTATTCCATGGTAACACATCATCATTTTTAGTCTTCTTCATAAAACAACAACCTTCTTATAATGAATAGATGTTTATTGAAAGGGTTCAGGGTGAAACAAATAATCAAATAAATACAAAAAATTATTAAATTAATTTTTCTCAGCCCTGTGAGAGTCTGGGGCTTGGAGGCTGTCTACAGGGACGATGAAATCGTGGGATACCTCAGGCGAGGGGATTACTCATACGTATACAACAATAGTATTGGCCATGCGTGAGTAATTCGACTGAATCCTTCAACAACCACTCAGACTTGGTGAAAATCTAATGACTGAGAACACTTTTTGCAGATACATTTCAAATCCCAGTGGTGATAAAGTAACCAAACAGTTCCTAGAGTCCGGTAAATACGAGGTGGAAGTTATGGGCACGAGGTACCCAGCAGAAGTGTTCCTCCACAGTCCCTTTGACCCTGAAAACAAAAGACTGCTTGGCAACTACAGCTGATTCATTAGGTGTAATCTCCGTGTGACGTTAAAATACTGTACATTTTTTTTACCTTTGTATTCCAAAATATAAATATGAATACATTAAGATCATCCAGCTAATGGATTCGCGTGAATTGTCACGCTGTTTATTCTGATGTCTGTCAGGGGTTTGAAGTTCTTCGGGTTCACTGGGAGCTTTTCCAGTTGTTCTAGGGTGTCCAGGCCATCGATGACTCTGAGAAAAAAATTATTGGTAGTTAAATTTTTTTTTCAGGGCTCCTAACTTCGAAACAAAGGGAGATAACGAAATTTTTGTGATTAGCTTTTTTGTAGGGTGAATTGAGGGCTACAAAAAAGGTCATGAAGAAAATTTTGCTATCTCCATTTGATTTCGAGATATTCGTCGAAAACTGGCCAACAGTCAAAATCGACGTGAACCATTTTAAGGTTTCGCTAGTTGAATTGTTTCTTACTTTCCAAATAAAGTGTACTTCAAGTCTAGGTGGGGCTGGGGAGCGTAAGTTATGAAGAATTGACTTCCATTCGTGTTCGGCCCGTTATTCGCCATTGATACCAAGCCTCGCGCGTTGTGCTTCAACTCTTCCTTCAACTCATCCTCGAATTTTCGATTCCAAATTGATGTGCCACCTTTTCCTGTCTGCGTTGGGTCCCCTGTTTGCACTATGAACCCTTTGATGTTTCGGTGGAATGTGCAGTTGTCGTAGTAATCACTTGCACATAATGCCAGGAAATTCTGAAGAAGATACTTTCACTTTTTTTTTTTCAGGGAAAAATTGAGCATTAAATTATTTTCAGCAATGACTTCTGAAAAAGTGATGGGATTTCGATGAATCAAAATTCGTTTTAAAGACTAAAAAAACAACTTCGGAGTGAAAAAAAATGTTTGAATTTTAGTGCAGCAATTTCTATGTATTTTATTTTATTAATTTCTATTTATCTAGAGTGTATTTGCGCGGATAAAATGAATAGGGAAAAATGTAGAGAATTGTTCAGAGCAGAAAAATAAAATTATAAAGTAAAAAAAAGATGGAATGGTGAAATAATGGAGTGAATTATGAACGTTTTTAGTAAAATCAGAAATTCGATTTCTTTTGTAGAAAATCAGAAATTTCCCGACGCGGGAAAAAATAGTAAAACGAGTCGTTTTTAATCAACAATAACTCAAGAATGGCAGAGTGAAATTCAAACTTTTTTTCTTCATTTTGAAGGTATTTTTTGGGGCTTAAAAATAAGCCTTGATTTATTTTAATCGCATCATGTCGTCCGGAGATATTGACGATTTAAGAAGTTTCATTTTATTTGAGGTTAACAACGTAAACATCAATTTGTGCCTTCAAATAATGGAATTTTTGGGAATATTATTTCATAATTACGAAAAATAATAGAGTCTGAATGGATAACGAGACTTACCTCGCACGCTTTCGGGCACAATTCGCAAAACAATTCAATTTTAATGTCCCCCACGTCCGTATGAAGAGTGACACTCTACCAAAAAATCAATTGAAAAAAATTAAGTGTTAAAAATAAACACCTGTCAAATAAACATTAAACAATCCCCCAATACAATTAACTCTCCGATAATTACCATAATGATTAACCACAACTCCCGTTCGATTTCAAACCGACGTAAACACCACAGACTATCCCAAAAAATTCAAAACCTTCCGCTCAAAACCGGAAAAACAAACTCACTGTACACACCCGCCATCTTGGAACTTGTCACACTTCACTGCACTAGTCATTCCGCCCCCCGAGGCACTAATTATCGCCCCCGACAATAAAAAACCGCTGAGCCCCCCTCAGCGGCAGTCTTAAATCCCCGAAACCCCGACAAAACTCCAAACCGATCGGAAAAAATTAATTAATCACTTAAAACCGTGAATTTGACCCCGAAGTCGCGACGCCAGCGCCACCTTCACCGTACAATAATTTGATTTAAGACAGGCAGAAAAAATGGTAGAATGAGCCATTTTTATCTTCAATAACTCAAGATTGGCAGAGTGAAATTGAAAAATTTTTTTTTCATTCTGAAAATATTTTTTGGGGCTTAAAAATGAGGCCCGATTCATTCCAATCGCATCGTGTTAGAGTCGGAAAAGATGAAGGGACTCACCTCACACGCTTTCGGGCACAATTCACTCCGCCAAAAGTCCATCTCCAAAAAATGAACACCTCTCAAATAAAAAGCCAATTAGCCCTCCAATAATTACCACAATAATCAACCACACTCCCGTTGAATTTCAAACCGACGTAAACACCACAGACTATCCCAAAAAATTCAAAACCTTCCGCTCAAAACCGGAAAAACAAACTCACTGTACACACCCGCCATCTTGGAACTTGTCACACTTCACTGCACTAGTCATTCCGCCCCCCGAGGCACTAATTATCGCCCCCGACAATAAAAAACCGCTGAGCCCCCCTCAGCGGCAGTCTTAAATCCCCGAAACCCCGACAAAACTCCAAACCGATCGGAAAAAATTAATTAATCACTTAAAACCGTGAATTTGACCCCGAAGTCGCGACGCCAGCGCCACCTTCACCGTACAATAATTTGATTTAAGACAGGCAGAAAAAATGGTAGAATGAGCCATTTTTATCTTCAATAACTCAAGATTGGCAGAGTGAAATTGAAAAATTTTTTTTTCATTCTGAAAATATTTTTTGGGGCTTAAAAATGAGGCCCGATTCATTCCAATCGCATCGTGTTAGAGTCGGAAAAGATGAAGGGACTCACCTCACACGCTTTCGGGCACAATTCACTCCGCCAAAAGTCCATCTCCAAAAAATGAACACCTCTCAAATAAAAAGCCAATTAGCCCTCCAATAATTACCACAATAATCAACCACACTCCCGTTGAATTTCAAACCGACGTAAACACCACAGACTATCCCAAAAAATTCAAAACCTTCCGCTCAAAACCGGAAAAACAAACTCACTGTACACACCCGCCATCTTGGAACTTGTCACACTTCACTGCACTAGTCATTCCGCCCCCCGAGGCACTAATTATCGCCCCCGACAATAAAAAACCGCTGAGCCCCCCTCAGCGGCAGTCTTAAATCCCCGAAACCCCGACAAAACTCCAAACCGATCGGAAAAAATTAATTAATCACTTAAAACCGTGAATTTGACCCCGAAGTCGCGACGCCAGCGCCACCTTCACCGTACAATAATTTGATTTAAGACAGGCAGAAAAAATGGTAGAATGAGCCATTTTTATCTTCAATAACTCAAGATTGGCAGAGTGAAATTGAAAAATTTTTTTTTCATTCTGAAAATATTTTTTGGGGCTTAAAAATGAGGCCCGATTCATTCCAATCGCATCGTGTTAGAGTCGGAAAAGATGAAGGGACTCACCTCACACGCTTTCGGGCACAATTCACTCCGCCAAAAGTCCATCTCCAAAAAATGAACACCTCTCAAATAAAAAGCCAATTAGCCCTCCAATAATTACCACAATAATCAACCACACTCCCGTTGAATTTCAAACCGACGTAAACACCACAGACTATCCCAAAAAATTCAAAACCTTCCGCTCAAAACCGGAAAAACAAACTCACTGTACACACCCGCCATCTTGGAACTTGTCACACTTCACTGCACTAGTCATTCCGCCCCCAGAGGCACTAATTATCGCCCCCGACAATAAAAAACCGCTGAGCCCCCCTCAGCGGCAGTCTTAAATCCCCGAAACCCCGACAAAACTCCAAACCGATCGGAAAAAATTAATTAATCACTTAAAACCGTGAATTTGACCCCGAAGTCGCGACGCCAGCGCCATCTTCCCACCCCCGTTTCCTCTAGTTCACCGAAACACTCCACTCTCCACGTTTGGCACATTGCGGTTAGGCGAAACTCTTAAAATTCTCGTGCATAATATCCTAAGAAAAGCGACAAACCCGCGTCATAAATTCTCCAGTTCTCTCATCGCCAATCACTCCCCCAAATTACCCAAAATTCGCGGCAAATAAATCCCCAAAAGACGTGTGAAAAAAAATAATACAGTGACAGCATAGATTAACCAGTGAGTAGTTGGGCAAGTGGAGTATACCGGACAGTCAGTCACACGAAAAACGCATGACGTAATTGTATTGATCGGCGTTAGGGAAACCTCGAGGTGGGAATAAGGAGTGGTGGGGGAAAATACAGAAGGTGGCTCAACGAAAGTCGCGCATTCGCCAAGCCATTCGCCATCTTGGACGAGGAAATTTTAGTGGTGTGATTATTGTAAAGGATATAATTTCATCGGAACGAGGGATTGAGAGAGTTTATTCTGTGACCGAGGGATATTTGTTTTGTGTTATTGTAATTCCTGGCGGATCGGGTTATTAAGTTTTTTTTTTTATTTGGATTGAAATCCGTTTGTCAAATAGTAACCCATTTGGACGGACCAAGGTGAGTGCTTATTTTGTTGTTAACACCATGTTCTGGCTTTCGTTTTTTTTTTCACTCGTTATTTTGGGTTTTTGGGGGGCGCAGGAGGGTATCGATGGGCTTCGGGGGTTGGGGGGGCCCTCAGGGGGTGAATGAGGGATTGGGAGGGAAAGAGGAGTGGAGCAAGCCTGAGATTATTAAACTATACACTTGCTTTACCGTTAGCCCGGCCGGAGGATTTCGGTGAAAAATTATAGACTTTTGGGGCTGATTTCGGGGAAATGGCATTTTCCCCGGCTTTATCAGCTCCAAAATTCTTTGAAGAGTTTGAAATGTTGGGATTCCTCACGTTTTTACTCGGGCGATTTTTAATCGGCGCTGGGACACTTATTGTTGCAATTAGCGAGGCAATTTCTTTTGTCCACGAGGGGATTTCAATCATTCTTGAGCAATTACTCATCGATAATTCTCGGGATTTTCAACTGCGTCGGGATTTCGCTGGGATCCCCCCCCCCCCCCCCCCC